GGCACACGGGTTGCTTTACCTGACCTGACCTGACCACAGCGCACACCAAGTTGTTGTGAAAGAAGAAAGCAAAAAGGTCCCTGTCATCGGTCTGGGCGGGCTACCACATCACCATCGATCATCACCGATCATCCGTCTCCTCCGCCGTCCGTCTCCTCCGCAAGGGCGCTTCTTCGTCTTCTTCCCTACCTTATTACTACGTCTCCTTTTCCACCCTTCCCCTCCCTTACCTTGCACTCCCGTTTTCTCTTGAACCAGAATCATGTCCTGCCGGTTTACAGCCACCGAGGCTGCCTTTGCAGACGTGGGCTAAGACCAACCAACAAGCCAACACAAGACGCTACGCAGAGAAGAGACAAACCCACCTTACACAACGCAATACACCTTACACACACGGCATCGCACCTCCTCATACGCATTAAGCAGGCACATGCGCATACGCATCCTCAGTATTTTACACTCTTGTCAACCTCACACCTCAGTCGACATCGCCCCAACTGTCGCCTAGGATTCCCGGTGCGGATTGGAAGCCCGTTTCACATCGGCTTCTCTGCAGCACGCCGGGTTCCAGCAAGTTTCAACCGTCCGTGACGAGGGAATCCCCGGTCGCCAAACCGCCCGCACCAGATCAGATCTGCCCTCCAAACCGTTCCGTTCACGGCAGCAGACACCCGCCCGTGAACATACCTTCCAGACATTCGCAGTCCCGTGCCGGGCGCACTATGGATGCCTTCGAGGTAGTCCGCTCTTTCGGCAGAGGCATCAATCGCGCTGCCCGCGGCGTGCGCAACAAGGTGCGCCGTGACGGACAACCATCATCATCTGAAAGCCCCCCCACCTCGTCGGCCCCATCTCTGTCCGCTTCATCCACCAGCGCCGAGGAACCGCACCACGCACCGACCGGCCAGCAGCCCGATCTTGAGGCTCAGATTCCTCCTCCTGTTCAGACGGCTTCTTCTCAAAACCACTATGAGGCCGTCCCGCTGGCTTCACCGCCGCCTTTCACACCTACCACACCGCACCACCAGCCAACATCACCTCCACCTCACACGGCAGCTCACTCGCAGCATGTGCTCCCAACTCTTACCCTTACCCTGGGCCCCTCAGCCCAAGCCCCCACCCACGATGCATCTGATCACTCGCATCCACCTCAGTCTGCCGGGTCTACCGTCTCGGCCATGTCAAATGCCCAGACGTTGAACAACAGCAATACTCATATCCAGACTCTCAACGTACCGGCAGACCTGTCGCAGCCCGTGTCGCCGCTGTCACCACTGCCTCCAGCCATTGTACACTCGCCAGCTTCGCCCTCATTCATCCCGTCTGCCATCTCGTTTGCGCCTCAAGTCCACCCGAACTCACCCGTTCCTCAGCCTCTCAACCTATCTGCAGGACCCTCGCCCTCCGGTCAATACCTACCATCGCCACTGAACTCCCCGCTGCCGCTGGATCTTGAGCGATCTTCGCGATCACTTCACACCAGAGAAAAGGATGCCGTATCCCTCCGATCCCAGAGCGCCCGGCCCCGCACGTCCCGCTCCCGGCGCGACTCAGTCATTGAAAAAGTGGCCTCCCTCGACCCCCGGCTGTCCCGTCGGCGCTCACGGATCCTCGGGCCCAAGACGGGCAACAGTCTGATGGACTTGCCCCCGGAGCTGCAGCTTCTCATCATCGACCACCTTGAGTTCGGAGAACTGGAAAACCTGCGCCGCACGTGTCGCTTTTACCGTAACTTCCTCACCAAACAGACTATCCGCGACCTTTTCGGCGAGCAATTTCGCCTGGCTCTGCTTGCGCACTGCTACGTCTGTCTCAAGTACGACCCCACCCGTGGCAGTTTGCTATGGGCCGATTACAACCACCCGCGCTATCCGCTTGCCAGCAAGTGTGTCGACTGCGCCTATCAAAAGAACGAACTTTCTGTTGGAAAGAAGGTTGCTCTGGGAAACTACGCCAGCGTGTGGATCTGCCGATGGTGCGGCTATCCCGTTACTAATGCCTCCGCGCCGAACCAGCCGGAGTTCCACAAGGGCTGCTACGAGCACTACAACAACGTGCTCTTGGTTTACTTTGTATTGGGATGGATTCAGCTTTGCCTTGGCGTCGTCGCCGGCGCTCTCTGCTGGAGATATTTCAAGGACAAAGTGTTGGTTCTAGCGCCCTCTATTGTGAGTGTCACGGCCTCCCTTGATTTTGAAACGCTCTCACTAACACTCGTAGGTCAACTTTATTCTATTATGGTGGTGCTTGGCGCTCCTCATCACGAGAGGAGAGCACAAGCGCACATACCACCTATCTCTGATTCTCGAAGCCGCGATTCTCGGGCTCTGGTGCATGCCTCTTTACGTCTTCATCAACCTCAACGAGGAGAATTTCAAGGGCCTCGAGGATAGACGCGTCACTGTCACCTTGGTCTTTGTGGTCCTCAACATGTTCTTCCGCCTGCTCAACGTGCTGGGCAACCTCATTCTCGCATGCGAATGGCGACACTTTGCCAGAAACAAACCCCGCTCCACGCCCATCACGAAGGCGCTCAGCTTCGTCCTCGCGGGACTCGTGTATTGGACCTACCCCCAGAGCATCGAACAGGAATACCCCGCACAGTACCATTTCTTCAACACCGGCCGCCGGCGTATCAAACGCATCCTCGCCGAGCGGAACCACCAGCGACAACAGCAGCAACTTACGATGATGATTTAGACGAAACGAAAGGAAAGAATGGTGGGCTTGGCGGATATTGGGAGTTTCAAACCGGAAAGGCGCATCGATATTGAATGAGTTTCATACAAGAAGCGTAATGGGTGGGCGTGCTTTGGACCGAAAGACTTTTTCTTCATTTTATTTTTCACCAGGGATATCGACGGGCTCAACACGGCGTAGGAAACTGACTCGGGGGAAGGAAGCGTGCTTGAAATTTCCTTTCCCTTGTTAACGATACCTACACCCACAGCAGCCTGTCGGATCTCACAGCACGACACCGGCGCTGGTAATGAAACGATGCAGCACGATACGATGCGCCTCAGCAGATTGAGGCGAATTGAAAGAAAGAATTTATTTAGAGACATTTCCTGTTGACCACCTCAGGGCCCGTCTCGTCGTACTCCTCTCTAGAAATACACATGTTTTTGAACGTGGAAAGCTGACTGACGATGGAGCCCCCTATCCAAGCGGAGTAAATTCTGTTGCGCGGTGAAATGATGTTAACCTTGGCTTTCGGGAGCATCCTCCTCAGCTCCTTCTTAAGCCGCTCGCCGTAGCCTGGTATCATGGTGTTTCCACCCGCCTACATCTACGTCAGCGATTCCTCCAACAACGCGTCGATGCGCACACTCACCAGCAATACGTTCCTCAACAGCGTGCCTCCCAACTCCTCCCCAGCGTTCCCCACGCTCGAACAGACCCCGTGGTAGAACTCGGGCACATCGAGCCCCAAGATGTCGTGGTTGAACATCACCTCGCCCGCCATCATCTCCACCGGCCGCCCGGGGACCACGCTCTTCCCGTCCGGCAGCGTCCACCTCTTCCCGTCGTCGGGCGCGCGCAGGGTCCACTCGACGTACTCCTTCTCAAAGTCCATCGCCACGCGCACGCGCTCAAACTTGGCCAGCCTGACAAAGTCGTCGGCGGCGCCGTTGGAGGGGAAGTGGACGTGCTCGTCGGCGCGGAGCGTGTGCGCGAGCCAGTCCTCCACCGGCTGCCCCGCGACCTCGCAGCGCCGGGCGAGGGCGTGGAGAGGGGTGAAGTCGCGGACCGGGAGGATCGAGGTCGCGGTGTGGCCTGAGTCGACCACGAGGGCCGTCGGCAGGTTGGCGGCGTAGGAAGATAGGAGGGCGGGGGTTGTGGTGAAATAGGAGGGGGCGTGGAGGCTTTCAAAGACGTAGGTTGTTTGGCGGAGGCTAGCCGTGTTAGACATTCACAGCAGAACGGACCGGGAGGAGGGGTGGGGTGTTGGGAACCGTTGGTCTTTGGGAGCGTGGACTGCCGGCTCGGTCATAACGACCGGGTGCGACGACGGGTTAGCGCCGATTTCCTTGTAAGTGTGTCTCCATATCTTGTCCATGTCGTCCCATGTCTGGATCATGCCGTATGGATCGAGAGGTCGACGGATACGCTGGAATTCCGGTATGGGTGGATCTGGGTTGACTGCATGGCCGATGTTGTAGATTGACTTGCCCATATTAGGTTCTTTCGTATCAAGTGGCCCTGAAATGGAATATTTGACGTACTTGCCATCCACTAGTGTTAAGCTGCACGTCTAATGGTGACCTGGTGGGATATTGAATGGCGCTCGCTGATACATGTCAGAAGTGAAGTCAACGGAGACATGTTGCCATGGGAAAGTTACGAAATATGGTTGAAGGATGTTGATCGCCTCCGAACCCAGCCTTGATGAAGCCGGACCTATCAAAAGTCAGAACCTGCCCTGAAATACATATACTCTCAGAATCGCACAAACCCGTTATCGATCACGACAGCCGACACGTTCATCCTGCCAAAGGAGTGTAGTCAATCGATGTAAGACCGAGCTGAACCTAGCTCAAGGGGAATCCTCGGATTTATATGCGCCAAGATCTCAGCTTCCACTGCTTGCTAAGTTTGTGCCGCCTGACAGCGGAGGCTAGGCGTTCATGCAGGAGCACACAACAGGTTTGTTTGCTAAATTGCTGCGCTTGCTTCGAGCTGACAAGCGAAAAAAGAAAGGTTGGGCAATCGGGATTTAATGCAGACGGGCCTGACGTCAGACTTTGGAATAAGCAAATTTGCGCATGCTTTGGGATCCTTAGGCGGTTTGTACTCAGACTTACATCTCACAACTTCAATGGAAATGCCAGTCGTCTCATAAGCGTGGTATCTTGATTCTTCTTAATCATGAGGTGAGTCAAAGCAAAACGCCGCTCCCTGACTCCGCCCGACTAGCTAAACATCATGAACTTTTCAGGGCCTATTACACATGCTTTGTAGCTCTGTAGGGACAAAGAGTCTCGCTCTAGCGCATCTTCTCATCTCCGTCTGGACCGGGTGTTAGGAGCAGGCTCAAAAGCGTCGTCCTCGGAAATCTCGTCGTCGCTAATTTCCACCGCCTTCTGCGAAGCAGCAGCCTGAGAAAAATTGAGTTTCGTCTGGCGCGTCGTCTTGGGTGCTGCGCGTGCCGGTTGCGATCTCTTACCGCGCGTGGGGGCGGGTACTTCCTCAAAGTCATCATCGTCCATCACCACATCCTCTTCCTCTTCATCCTCCTCCTCAAACAAGGGCTTCTTGCGGCCTCTGGCGGGTGCCTTCTTTGCTGGCGCCGCCTTCTTCGCCGGGGCCTTCTTCGGCGCAGCAGCCTTTGTTGTACGAGCGGCTGCCCCACGCTTCGCAGGTTGACGGGCAACTGGCTCATCTTCCAGGTCCATCATGTCGTCGTCGTCCTGTGTCTGCGCCCGTCTCGATCTCGCCTTAGCCGTAGCGGGCTCTGAGACCGTCTCTGTCTCAATGACGCCAGGCTGATCTTCCCAATGACCGTCCATATCAGAATCCCAGTCGTCTGGCTTGGGCTTGATCTTCCGCTTCGAACGCTCCTTCAACAGTCCCTTAGAGAACTGCTCCTCAAGCTTGGATCTGTACATCTCCATGTGCTTGTCATAGTCCTCGTCGTCGGAGTCGAGGCTAAGCATTTGCTTGACCTGGCCAGCCAGTGACTCGCTAACGAACTCTTCCATTGCGTGCTTGTCGTCTTTGTTGACGAACTGGTTGACAGCGTCTCCAAAAGGAGCCGTAGGCAAAATCTTCAGGGACTGCGCCGCTAGGAACTCTTGAACCAGGGCCTCCACTTTGATTGTGTCTAATCCAAGGGCTTCTTCCAGCATCTCGGGGATATCTGTCTCGGCGTTGCGTTCTTTGGAATGTCAGCTTGTGTCTGGTGATCCGTGGGTAAAGTACACTTACTGGAGGCACCGGCCTTCTTCCGGTGGAAGTAGACGACGTCATTGGTATTGGCAACCTTGCCAATAAATCGGTTGGAAAATCGCTGTGGGTTCTCGCAGTCGTATTTACCACCCTCGGGGGCGGTGTACTCGACCTTGAGACGGATCAAGGGCAACGGAGGTTCTTCCTCTTCGTCCTCCTGGATGGCAGCCCAATCCTCGTTTGCCTCCTGAATCATCTCCTCGACGACCACCATAAGTCTCTTGGTGAGTTCTTGACGGTTGTCCTTCTTGGCGTGCAGACCCTTAAAGCGCGAATCACTGGAAAGGACGATCTCCCTTGTGATGAAAGGACGGACGGTTTTGAGGGGAACTTTCTCCACCTTGAACTCCTTTCCAGATACATTCAGGATGGCGACATGCTTCGGGACGGCCTCGCCTGGTACTAGCGACGTGGCGACGGAAGAGCCAGGCTGCATGACATGGAAGCCAGTTTCGGGATTCTGCGAGGGATCGATGAGACACTCGTGCTCGTGGCCCCAGACAACAAGATCCAACCAGTTGGGCAGGACGGTCTCGGGGAGGTATGAGGTGGCGGTGTGTGCGTGGTGGTTTTGGTGTACGGTAAGAAGGTTGAACCAGTCCCCCTCCTGGATATCCGGGCGATACCACTTGACCTTGTTGTCTCTGAAGGTACGGAACATGCGCTCGTCGCGCACATTGCTCAGTCCGTAGAGGGCTAGCTTGGTTTGTCCCTTCTGCAGCATGACTGGCTTCGCCTCGATATTGTCGGCCTCTGCAATGCGACCAAAGTAGTTGACGAGACCGGCAACCTGGAGAAGATCCAGAGAGCAGTAATGACCCTCGCCACTTGGGTCGTCGTGGTTGCCATGGATAGAGAAGACGGGAATGGAGATGTTGATGTCGGGGTCTTCGTAGTTGACGTTGGGGAATGCGCCCTCGAAAACTTCGTTCGCGTCGCTGAGGAACTCGAGCTCGCAAGGTTTCATGCCGAGGCAGTTCTTTCGCAGACTGCGCATGACCTGGTACATGGACTTTCGCGAAGGCTTGTTGTCGTGGAAGAGGTCACCGCCGAGGAGGACCATGTCGACCTGCGATACAGGTTAGCGGGCCGAGTCTCGGTAGTAGCAAGGCAAGCTAGGCAAGCTTGCTTACATCTTGGGCCTTGGCAATGTTCAGGATCTCGTCGAAAGTCTTCCAGCTGTCGTCTTTTCGGATCGGATCGCGCTCTTCGTAGCCGACATGGTTGTCTGTCGCAACCAGGATGCGGATGGTGTCCGCCTCTGCATGGGGTCAGCAAACGGCTGTAAGGGGCTACCGATAGAGCATACCTGTGAATTCGGGCATCTTGGCGAGCAGACCGACCGCCAGTCTTGTCAATTGAGAGTCTGCTTAGCGATGCTGGGAATAGCTGTGAGGCGACGAAGGTGTGTTCGCAAAACAGCAGCACCTTGACGGAGCGGCTTAAGTGGTCGTCGCGTGGAGCAACTCAGAGCGCGCCACAGCAGCAGGCAGCGACGCGAAACTGCCCAAAGCTGCAACTCGCAGGCACGTGTGGTGGGGAGCTCTCAGGTGGCTCGTGCACTGAAGCAGGCGGGGTGGCACCTGAACCTCCACCTTGTTGGGGGCAGCTGCCTAGTGTACCTTAGCTGCTGAACGAGACCCTCCAAGGTGATCGAGGGACGGAGCCACGAACATCCACTCGGCTTCTTTCCAGAGCTTTTTACTAACCATACCTTACCTTAGATGCACGTCACGCTGATCTTGCCTGGAAATTGGACAGGCGAGACTGCAGAAGAAAGTCCACTCTGGTACTCGACGAAACCAAAATGCCTTGCAATAGTGGGAAGGAGTCCTGATACTGGCCGACAGGGGGGCGTGTTAGCCATCTCTTCACTGAGTCCCTCGTTGAATACTTTCGTAAACATCATTCTTTTTCTTTATGAAGCTTCTTTCGATCGGCAGATAACTGAAAAAAATGAGAATCATCAGCTACTTTGTCATGCGACCAAAGTCAGTGGCTGTTCTTAGATCTGACGGGTTGATCTTTTCCCCGCATCTCCATCCCGACCTTAAATACCGGCAGCATCCAGTGCCCAATGCCGAGCCCCTCTTGTTGAACCTCTTCCCAATACGCTGCAATGAACAAGACAGACAGTGCCACCGTCCTCGACCTTTCTGCATGGCCTACGGCCGAGAAATTCGTCTCTCGATGCCGAGAATTCCTAAGTGAAGTGCAGGACTTGTAAGTCACCACGACATCCGCCGCTTAGACGTCAAGAACTGAAACTTTATGATAGGACACCTGGGAAAGATCTAGAAGAGAGACTGAACAGAGAATATGGCCCCGGGAATAAGTTTTATGAAGATTTCTGCACCTATATAAAGCAGGGCCTAGTGGAGGGTTGGGTGGCCCAGACAGAGATCGACGGGCCAAAGTACCGGCGTGGCAAGATAGCTCTTCCCTCAGAAGAAACGCGATACTTTAGTATCACAACTGTCTACATGGAGAGCAAGGAAGATTACACTGGGCAGTACCATGCTCATCCTTACGGGGAGATCAACTGCGTTATTCAGCTCGACGCCACCGCCGAGCTGAAGGGCATGCAAGGTTGGCAGGGCGCAGGCTGGACGTCGCCAGGTCCCGGAACGCATCACTACCCCGAGGTCAGAAAAGGGGCTCTGGTTGCGTTGTTCTTTCTTCCAGCTGGCCGCATCTCGTACAATGCTACGCCAGGCATGCCGCAGCCGTTGTCTACGTGACGTTCGCCAACATATACTTTGAAGGCTTGAGACGAATCATGAAAATAGCCTGTAAATAGTGAGATATAGCGGACAGTCGCTTAGTGCGTAGAAATAATGACCGATTAAGGCGGACATATCTGCCACAAGAATCTCCGTCATCCGATGCCAATGCGGTCTTTCGGAGGCCGGTCGTACCGCTAGATGCAACGCCTTGACACCTCGCCTCCGCTACAGCCACAGACGTTGAGTTAAGCTCTTTTGACATGGGATGGGGGACATCTTACCCAACATGCTTAAAAGATTATCGTGGTGAGCCGCAAGATTGTCTCCAAAAGGGGCGCATCCCGCGTGGGAGCCGACAACTATGCAACGGGGACGTCACGGGCAGACGCTACCGAGGTCGTGACGATGTGAAGTTCAAGTGCTTGGACATTTCGGACGGCACGCGCAGACGGAGAACTTCTTCGTGTTCTTGAGGACACTGCTGGTGTATTTAAACCCAACGGCCAGCCGGTAGTCTGGAATCATAATTTACACATCATAAGTCCGCTCACCATCCTTGGTCATATCACTGGTTATCAGACCAAGTAGCCATCTTGATCAGCTTCTCGCCAAAATGATCGACAAAACTGCCGAAATGTCTCGCTCTCGCGATGGGTTCGTCTGGACCCCCCAATCTGGGTTCTCATATGGTGTGTATCCTGGACTTTTGTTGTGCTCCCACTAACAAAGAATAGGTCTTCGGACTCCAGCTGTCGTCTCATCCACCCCACACGGCGAACTATCCGACAAATACGATGTAATCGTTATTGGAGCTGGTTTCGCAGGCTTATCAGCAGCCCGGGATCTTGCATTTGCTGGTAAGAGTGTCTTGCTCGTCGAGGCTCGCGATCGCATTGGTGGTCGCACGTGGACCGCATACAGCGAAAAGGGAGAGTCGTACGAGATGGGCGGGACTTGGATCCACTGGCAACAACCACACGTCTTTGCAGAAGTTCAGCGATACGGTCTCGATGACTTTATTGAAACCAATGCTGTCCCGGAAGGGTGTACCATCTACTCAAAAGCAAACGCCACTGACCCAGTTATCTCACGAAACTTACAAGAGGCGGACAAGACTCTCGCCAAGATTGAGATGCTCATGGCACGACTGTTAGATGTCGATGGGAAAGGCGGCCGCACTGTCATCCCTTTCCCATTCGATACCCGGAGCAGCATGCAGAACAACACGCTGTATTCGCAAATCGACGAGCTTAGCATCAAGGACAGAGTTGCCCAGATGACGGACTTATCACAAGAGGAACGGATTATGATCGAGGCCCACGCGTCTTCTTTCTTCGGGATACCTTCGAACGACGCGGCATTTTCGGCGGTGCTCTATACGTATGCTCTTTGCAGCTTCGATCCGAAGACGACCGAAGATGCAATCATGAGGTACAAGCTCAGCAAGGGCACAACTTCACTAGCCCTGGCTATCCTGAATGATTTCAAAGGTCATCGGATCTTCTACTCGCTGGTCAAGTCCATCTCTCAAACGGATGAGCCGTACGGCGTGAGTGTGACGCTAGAGTCTGGGAAGGAGTTCAACTCTAAAGCCGTCATCACAACCATCCCGATGACCGTCCTCTCGAGAACCGAGTTCAACCCGCCACTGTCTTTCTTGCGCCAAGCTGCGTTCAAGGAAGGTGTCGTGCCAACCAAGATGGGCAAGCTTCTTGCCACAACTTCGACAAATCTTCCCGGCGGTTACAACATCGTATGCGACGGCGGAAGTCTGCCTTTTGCCAGTGCTTTCGCCGACGGCACGAGGAACGGTGAGCCGCTGCTCACATTCCTCACCCATCCTGGACACAAGCTGGACTCTGACGAGGAGAAGTTGCGTCTGATTGAGACGTTGCATCCTCAGGGGCTGACACTTACGTCTGCCAGAGCTCACCTGTGGTCAGAGGATCCTCTTGCAGGGGGAATCATGCCTGTGAGGAAGGCCGGATTTCTCAGAAAGTATTATGAAGAGGCTCACAGGCCGCATGGAAGGGTCTATTTCTGTGGTTCCGACTTTGCTGACGGGTGGCGAGGGTTTATCTCTGGTGCTTTCGAGAGCTCTTATCGTGTCACAAGGGAGGTTTTGCAGCACTTGAACGAGTAGATGACTTCTTTTTCGGTTTCCAGACACAGATACAAGGAATAGTGTCTAACATATATATTGAGTATTCAATGGTTCTTAATCTATAATCGAAATGCGTTTGCGATATCTGGAGGCCGCACTACATCCACCGAGACACGGGCCAGGTTCATGATCTTTGTGTATGGTGTTCTGAGATCACCTTCACGTTGTGATGTTACCCGCAGACCAACAATGAAGGTACCCGGGGTATTGTAGGCAAATGCGGTATTGACGTGAACCTTCGAGCTTGGAACGCCGAGGTGACCATATGTGAATCGCCCTTTTCCGAAAAAGTCCCACTCTACGAAGACCACCTTTCCGGCCCCAGGAGGGACTTCGACGCTGGCTTGGAAGTTGACGGCCTGTCCAACCCTTGCTTCGAACTTTTGTTTGCCCTCAACAGTCAAGCTTACCGTGGGCTGAATGCCCCCTCGCTCATATGCGGCTGATGGTATCTGAATCGAGTTGTCTTCGCCCACGTTGTAAGACGTAGAATTCGGCGGCTGAACCCCCTTCTCGACCCAGGCACTCAAGTCTCGCAGTGCTTGTTGAACCGTTCCGCGATACGGCACTACCAGTGACCTTCGACTGTCTTTGGGTCCTTCATAGTCATGCTCGGAATTCTCGTTGAACCAAAGTCGGTAGTTGTTATCGAACTGATCGCCCAGAACTTGCTTGACTTGCCCCCTGTACCAGTCGGCGTGCCAAGGAAAAGCATCGCTGTCGGCGAGGTTTTGGACAACAATGATTTTGCCTTTGATATCACCGTCGTGAGTTGAGTCCGAGGCACCTTCCGCGAGACGTGCAGAGACATCCACTGTCCGTCTGGGGTATATCGAAGATCCCTTGGGTCCACGCAGATGGTCAAATCCGTAGAAACCAGGCCGCTCAGGGACTTGATACCGATAGTAGGCCCGCATTGCCAGCGATCGGCTGTTATCGATATTGAGTATCGTTCCTCTGGAGAGACATTTGAGAAGAGAAGTGTCGTTTTGACCCACAAGTTTGAGGTCGAATGTAGCCATCTTGGTGATGACGTTGAAGGTCCCCGTCAAGATACCAAGGACGGCGTTGCTCGAGGAATAGACTGTGAAGTCGTACCAGTACTCGCCAAGAGTAGCAGATGAGGGGGGCACAGTTTGCAAATGAATTTTGATGGGAACCCCTGCCAGGTCAACTGTGACATGTCGGACGGTGGCTTCAAAGCTGACCCGCGCCCTTCTGAAGACATCCCCGAGGGGACTCGGCTCGGTGCCAAGATACCCCTTTTTCGACCAGAAATCGTTTGCATAGGTTGGATCTAACATATTAACGATTGGATTCGTTAACAGAGCTAATGTTGATGCGTCTGTTGCTGCCGCAAAGTCCTCGAAGGTGTTGAGTGGGATCCCGAGTCTTGTCACCTCGATAAGGACATCTTTCTCGACGGAGTCAAGTGCAGCAAGAACATCGCCGCTGCCACCGGGTCTCAATGCTTTCTGAATGTCGCCAGCCTTCTCCCGGAGAACTAATCCAGCCATCGCTCTGATTGAGGGGTTGTTGGGGGCAGAAATCGGCACCGCCTGGACGAAAGGAACAGCCCCGTCCCAGATTCCCCTGGATCGCTCCATGGCACCAATGACTTGAAAAGAGCCGCCACTTCCACCGTAGATGTAGCCATAGATGCGACGCAAAGGTTCATCATAGTACCTTCTGGCGATTACCCTCGAAAGCTCAGCAGCAGCAGCCTCTGCCTCGAAGCCACGTGCGCCAGTAACTTGGACGGCATAGGCACGGCTGGCTAATGCGAAGCCAATGGTCTCGGGGGTGGCGTGTTCTGACTGGGTAGGGAATACAAGCTGAAAGAATCTCCCATCCCAAAACTCTTTTGGTGGAAAGTAGAAATTGAACCGGATACGCGTATTCTCGAGATGCCCAGCGATTCGAATATGAGCTGCTGGTGAGGTGTGGTGAGACTCACGGTCGACGACGGGACAGCCGTAGATCGGGTTGATAGAGTCTTTGGTCAATATACTTCTGTATTCGCAGTCAGATATCTGGTCCATGGTTGTTGATGTTTGAAGAAGAGATTAAAAGGCCGCGAATACGACAATACGATGGGGTTGGGAAGCGCGCCGGTGACGGGTCCAGAGAAAGCTCAATCGTCGCTGGTGATGCTCAATATCTTGATTGAACAAATGATCGACCACTGCAATGCAATGAGTTTAAGAGGACATGTCGGAATATATACGAGAGAAAACGGCAAAAGCGTACCGAAGTCAAGGGAATCGCTGCGGCGCTGCCTCCGCGCCTTCCGCGTAACATTCTCGTATTACATACGAGAATGTCTTGGGCGACGCCAGCGGAAGTTTTGGTCTTCGTTTCGAATCTGCTCACCAAATTCAAACGAGATTTTCGATATTTATTTCATTTTCGCAACATCAAAATTGCTATGCCGAGTTGCAGCGCTGATACTGCTTTGAGATAAGAAGTGGTCTCCATAGGCAAAAAGGCAACTTTTATCGCTACAACTTCTGTTTCTGACTTCTGTAAGATTGGAATTTGTCTGTATATATCACTTAGAGTGTTACATGACAATATCTCGTCGCCGAGTCGTACTCCAGCAGCACCTCGGCCTCCATTTGGTCGACGTCTACAACCACCTGACGCCACATGCTGATCTCGTAGGAATCGGCCATGAACCCAGGAAGAACCATTGCACACAAATATTTCGTGCCGTTGGACTCCTGTACATCGGCTATCTCTCCATTAACCTGATTGCCGTCAAGATCTCGGGCGTTGGACCCCGCGGCCAACTGGGGGCACAGGATGACGACCATGTTCAACCCAGGCAGGGTACCCGAGAAACCAGCAGGTGGATTCCAGCGAACGACCATACCAGGACGGATGCGCTCTTTAAAAGGCAACTTTGCGGCACTCGGGTCGAGGTCAGCACTGGAAGCAAGCTTCTGGTTCCTCGAGATGGTTTCTTCAGCCTTGGTCAGCGGCGCCTCTTCACCAGCTGTGTCAACCTTTTTAGCGGACGACTTTTGAGAGTCTATGTGAAGACGCCAAAACTTTGCTTGGAAAGCGCGGGCTTGATCCGGCGTGACTTCCAGAGTCTTGAGGCAGCGAGTGAGAAATTCTGGGGTGGGAAGACGGAGGAGTTGAGCGCCCGTCTCAGACGGCGCAAGGAGATCACTCGAAATGGCAGGGGCCCCAGACTGCTGGATATTAGAACGCTGCGACCAAGGACAGAGAGGGACTGCTCACATTTTCACCGATCCATTTCTTCAGCTGATTGTTGTTCCATGTAAAGGGCACATCCGAGTCATACGGCCAAGGCTTAGCTTTGGGCAGGAGGACCCTCAGCATCTCGGCGTACTTGAGCGTGTTCTTGCCGGCGGGACAGTCCGGGAGACAGGGGTTGACGCATGCCATGACCACGGTCTTGCAGCTACGACGGCTGGTGGGATCAAAGACATGCTTGAGGATCTTGGTGAGGGAGCTCTGGCGGAAGGGAATGTGTGTTGGCTTCTTGGGCTTCCCCGTCAAGGATGCTGCATCTACCGTCGCTCTGCCCCGAATGCAATCCTTTAGGACGGACAGACTGGTGTTGATCTCGCGAGCTTCCTTCATCCGGTCGGCTGTGTGGTTAGCCCTGTCTCTAGCAGCTTCTGAACCAGCCAGGTCGATGAGGTACAGCAGCCCGTCTTCGGCAGCGGGCATGGCGGGATTCTCGATGCGCATGCGACAGATTGCGTGAGATCGAGACGATGCATCGTTCTTCTCGGTCGCTGCCGTTCGTCGGTAAGTTGCCGCTTTCTCGATCAGATCGAGCAGGGTGCTCGCTTCGGTCACCTCAGACTCCTGCGCACCCGCCAGCTGGGTAACACCGAAAGAATCCTCCAGGACGGAAATAGGCTTGCGCGAGTTGAGTAGATCTGGGGATGTTATGTTTAGTGGTAATCGAACTGCTGTTGCGTATTGGAGAGGCCCTTACCAAAGGCGCGATTGCCTGCCAGCTCGATGATGCAGGCGTACACCTTGCGTTCGCCATCGAGGTTTCCTCGCATCAGAGAATGAGCGACCAGCTTCTCAATGGCGCTGACGGTGAAGGTCTTGCCTGAACCTGTCTGGCCGTAGGCGAACATGGTACTAACACCGCCGCTCCAGGCCCATGGGACGAGGGGTTCCACCAAATCTTGGTAGATCTTCTCGGACGTATCCTCCGGCCCATATGCGCGGTCCAAAGCAACCGAAGTTGTCTGTTTCCATTAGTATTACTGTTCAAACTGTAGGAAAGTTGATTGCTTCTCACGATCAGGGTGGGAGGGCCAAGAGGCTTGATGTGCTTTCGGACCTGGTGGATATCGACAGCTCCGTCTGTGTTGTCGCGCGTAAAGACACCACGAATGAGACCGGCAGAGACCTCGTCCTCGAGCATGGGCCGGAGCCGGGCGGCAACAATCATGTCCGGGTTCGATGTGGTATTCGGATCATCGGGGCGGGCCAGGTCTTCCTTGGCCGCTTTGGCCGCGAAGGCCTCAACGGAGGCCTGGAACCAGGGGGTGTGCTTGGTGTGGTACTCGTCCATGATTCGGGAAGGGAAATCAGACAAACAATTGCAACATGTAAAATCCTGTGCCTGATTCCGTTCTCTGCTTCGTTTGCAAAGCGACGCGGTCTTGTATTTGAAGGAAATTCTCCTCGTCAGCGAGATGCCGTGAGGCAAGATACGGCGCTGGGCGGGGGTACCTCCACATCCAAAATACAGCGAGTCCAGTTTAACACGGAGATCCTCCATGCGTTGTGCATACTGACATCCATAACATGAACAGAAATCACACACGATTGTCGTCAAATGGATGCCTAACTAGTCCACCAGGCAACTAGACAGACACATTGAAGTCGCGGTGAAACAGAATCTTCGTTGAGGCCGCAAAGGGTAGGTAGTTATTCACCAAACGTGTTGCCCACTTCATGCAAGAAGCGCAGTCGATAGGTGCCTGAACACCGCCGACAGGGATGTCGATAACCATGCATTCGGCGCCCAGCTTACTGGGACACGCCGCTAAAGTGGTAACTGACGGTTCACACAAGGCAGGCCGTCTGTCAGACATCTATCTATCTTCTGGACGCCTGGAATCTCAGTTGACACACGTGTTTGTGTTTGCAGGTCTCTGAAATTTGGCTGCCTGTTCTAGGTAGCCATAATCAACCAATGAGTTCCTCGTTTTCGCATCAAGCACACAACCAAGCTTTTGTAACATCTACAAGTCGCCGGAAAACCCGCGATTCATAACATTCAATTCGGCCGAGCAACCTAGGCAACCGTCAATGCCCACTCATGGATCTACTTAGACCCAAAAAACAAGCAAAATTTCCCGAACGAAGCTCCGTTGCCCCTCTTGGAGACGTAGTGTGAACTAATTCACGCGACAATACCTTATCCTTTGAGTATGACGGAGCCCAATGTTGTGATAGCTTCCGATTCCAGGTGACTCATCAAGTTCAAGAATACAACATTCATGTGGGAAATGGAGCGAGCTTGCTTGCGCACGATTTGTTATTTGGTACTCTACATATTTACTCATACAAAATTAGGCCATTAAATCCTGTTATTAGCATCAAACACCGCGCTGTGCGCCGATGCTCTCTTCGAGTTCCTCTTTGGGCCTCTGGCAAACGAAAAGCTTCGAGGCGACACGCTCTTGATGTTGCCGTTCGCATCAGGCTTCAGCTCGCGGACCTCGGTGGTGATGGCGACCTCGATGTCCTTCCTGATATTGCCGTTTCTATGCCTGCTGGCAGTGCTCGCACTTCTGCTCATGCTGTGGGACCTGGTAGGCGGTCTTCCGTCGGCGTACGGGTCACCCCAAGCCTTGACGTCTTGCATTTTGATCTCATTGACCATGCGCTCCTCGCTTTCGTTGAAGGTGATGTTGGTGATCGGATATGCTGAAGGAGGACCACGCCCGCGCCAGCTCTGATTACTGCCGGCGCCAAAGGTGCGCACGTCTCTTGGGGTGTTCTCTGTCTGTCTTTGCGACGAACGTATCGAGGTAATGAGGGAGCCGAAGACTGGGGTCAGCCACTGCTTGACGATCGAGAAGACCATGGGCAGGTTGGCTGTAATGACAGCGACGAAGGTTTCTCGAACAGCCCACGAGCCGGCGAGTTGTGCTCCATTTTGGGGATCCTAAAAGGGGGACCAAGTTCAGCATTTGCCAACGCAGACAAGGGGGCAACAACTTACAGTCACAATCAGGACGCATCGAAGGGTGGCGCAGACAATGACGAAGAGGCCACCGCTGAAGAGAAAGAGCAGACCCCATTTCTTCAGAGGCTTTAGCTTGGCCTGCCAAAGCATAGGAAGGGGAATTGACAACAGGTAAAGGTCCGTCGAGACGTTGAATGAAAGGTAGACCCAGACGACCTGGTTGGAAATTGCTGGCTGGCAGACATCTAGAGATGGCAAGTCAGCAAAACGGCAACATATCATCGCGGGAAGACATTGACTTACTACCGGGGTCCGGGTAGATCTGCCAGTTCTTATGAAACGGTCGACACGCTAAGAAAAGGTTTGCAACGACAACGATCCAGCTAACAATAAGGAAACCAAAGCCGACATAGATACGCATTCTAAAGGCTTTTCCCAGACCAGCCTATGCAATGTTAGACAATCGCTTTGTATGCAGGAAGACGCGAGTAAACGTACTGTTAACCTGATGTAGAATACCAACAACGAGGCCTTCAGCGACCACAACAGAACGGAATAACTAGACCATCCACAGATTTGAATGATAGAGCCGATTACCCTTCACAAAGATCATTAGCCAAGGCCGACACTCGTGTGGGGCAGGGCATCCTACCTGAGGCGATACTCCTCGCTGTCTGGCGAGAGTGCGGCCCGTTGCTCGTCAGTCATGCCATTGTTAGCCATGCCCTTCGCGATGGCCCCAACAGAATGTGCAAGGACCGTCTCTATGACATAAAAGATCTGGCCATCTCGGGGTCAGCGGGTAAGCGAAAGTCTAAGAGATGGAGAAACTGACCACTCCGA